ATCCCTAACGCTAAGTCATTAACAAAGCATCACCTTGACTAACACCGAGTAGTAATTTACCAGTAAGACAAGATATTTCATAAAATAATTATCCACTTACCATTGGCGGCGATAAAGTCAACAATATCGCCAAGAAGGTTTGCGTCATCAACAATGGCCAGATGCCCTCCCGCCGACTGACACAGGAACTCCATGTCACTCCAGGGACCAGACTCAGAAACAAAGAAAAGCAAACAACGGGATCCAACCTTAACATATGGCAATGTGCAACCTGAAATCCAGAGTAAATGTAAGGACAGGCAAGTGATGTCATACTTCTTTATATGAAAAATCACGAAAGGGAAATAGGTGGTAGTGAAAACTTCCTAATTAGTTACAAAAATGTCAATATATTTGTAGAAATATGTGAATGCATTCAGTATCTAGGATACATTATCTAAGGAACTGACTTAAAAGTGATTGAAATAAAAAAAAAGATGTTTGTGTCTAATAAGGTAATGGGGCTGTCATATTTTATAAAATGTGTATACACTTATAACTTACTTCCAGTAGTCACTGACACTTCTGTTGTCTCGCTTGATGGCGCATTACCATAGACCATGGCCGAGCCTGTGAAAAAATAATTTAAGTACTTGCATATATTTTTAGTTCGCTTCTAATTACTCCTCAGCCTACACAACTATTTAAATTAATATATAGGGAAGTACCACCTCTATAGCTGGACTGGGGACCCGCATCCTCAGAGAAGACAATAAACGTACCTCAGGGAAAACTCAAGGTTCTCCCCGGAGCTCTTTGAATATTTTCTTCTCCTACCACCTACCACCCCCTATATTCTATGTGAACTTTATTTATAGATAGAATAAATACATATATATATATATAATTAAGTCCTTTCTAAAATTTTCTCTTATACGTTTAATGATATGTTTTTTTTCATTTATGTTACTGTAAAAATTAATAATTTTATTCCAAAAGAACCTTAGATAACTTACCTAACCTTATTATAACAAGAGTAATTAAATTTAGCCTAATCCAACTAAATATATTTTAGATAAGTTTACAATAATTTAATAATAAACAAACAATGAAATATGTTTTAATATTGGTAGAATTACCGACAATATGTTAAGTAAAAGGACACAAATGTCACATTAGTTGCATTTGTGCCCTTTTACTTAACACAGTGAAATATATTTTTTCGTTAGGTTCCGAATTATTTTTGCGAAATTATTGCATACACAAATTTTCGCTTGCCTTATTCGGCAAGAAAAAAATATATTTCATTGTATTTTAAACTAATCTAAAATATATTTAGTTGGATTAGGCTAAATTAATCAGCCGATCACGTTGTAGCGGCTGTATGCCTAAGAGCATTTAGACAGGATCAAGAGATTCAGTTGCTGTTCAAAGCAAACAGCAGAATGGGGAGGAAATGTGATCAAAGAGACTTGAACATTAGAATAATAGTTGGTGCCAGACGAGGTGGTTTGAGTATATCAGATAATACTGTTCTCTCGGAATTTTCACGCACAACAATCTCTAGTGTTTACGGGGAATGATGTGAAAAACACCAGCGAGCGGCAGTTCTGTGGGCGAAAACACCATATTAGTGAGAGAAGTAAAAGGGAAATGGCCAGACTGCAAGGCTATGGTAACTCGAATTACCACGCGTTACAACAGTGATATGCAGAAGAGTATATCTGAAAGTACAACTTATCGAACCTTGTAATGGACTTTATGCAGCAGCAGATCACATCGAGTTCCACTCCTGTCAGTTACGAGCAGAATGTTGAGGTTACAGTAAGCACAAGCTCAACAACACCGGACAGATGAAAACTGGAAAAACGTCGCCTGATCTGACAAAACGCGATTCCTGTTGCAACATGCAGATTATAGAGTCAGAATTTTGCGTAAACCTTTGGAATGTGGTGAGACGGGAGTTTCGCAGCATGAATGTACTGCTGACAAATCTGCAGCAACTGCATGGTGCTATCTTGTCAAAATGGGCCAGAATTTCTAAGAAATGTTTCTACCATTTTGTTGAATCCATGTCAAGAAGAATTCAAACTGTTCTGTGGGCAAAGAAGGGTCCTTCCTGTACTAGAAGGCTGCCCCTAACAAATTGGCCACTATATATATATATATATATATATATATATATATATATATATATATATATATATATATATATATATATATATATATATATATATATATCAGAATATTATATATTTATCAGAATATGCAAAACAATCACTGTGAAAGAATAGTGAAATTCCAATAGCTTTCGTGAGTTCTCACATTATCAAGAGCTATAAAAACATTGCATCAAAGGAAGGTATGTGATGGTGAGGTGTGGTCTCGACCATTTATATGCCTTCCTTTGATGTAAATCTTTTATAGTTTCTTTGATAATGTGAGAAGTCACGAAAGCGCTTGGAATGTCACTATTCTTTCATGAAAAGTCATTCCTGTAACAATGGAGAGGATTCCAGCTGCATTGAATGTAAATTAGTCTCTAAGTGGAAATTAAAGCTGAAGAACGAAGACAGCTGAACTTCTCAAGTGACTATCATCTTTTTTACTGTGTTTTGAATCCAACGTCTTCCTAGTAGTAGTACAGGATTGCTATATGAAGCCGTTTTTCACAGAACCTGCCACAGGAAATAACTTGCTTATCCTGATTTGGGCAAGGAGATGACAATTTGATCCAGAGAAGCATTTTCTAATTACCGCAGGGAAATCACAAGGCTGGAAATGGTGAGCAAAAACAGAACAGTGCAGATTTACCTAAAAGCAACAGGAAGACTTTCAGAATCATGTCGCCGTTATCCGTTCTTTCCTGATGTTCAGTGTCGATGTTGCAGAAGCCAGGGGAATTCCTTCTTACCTTCTGCCTACTTATATGTGTACTAAAAGAAGGGAAAGAGGGAGGGTAAAATTCCTTGATAACGACAAAGGAGTACCAATTAAAATGGTAACAGCTGATGTTTCCCACCTGGAGTCCATGTCGTGTTCAGTTTGAGTCTTCGTTGCGTCTGGGAAGCAACACAAGCTGTTTACTTCATCTTGTTCATGGTCTCATATCTTTTTCTCTAATTTGTATCGTGGGAATAAAGACATGTGTATAATCAAGATGACCTGATTGTGCATGTGTCAATATTCCCACAATCTGTCGATACATGTGGAAGACGTAAAGGATAGCCAAGATAGAGGGATATTGTGTTCTTGTTGCGTGTTTCCTTAAGAACTACCCATCCACGTAAGTGAAAGCGAGAATAAAGCTTGCTATGTGATCTCATTACAGTCGTCAAAGTTGTTTCCGTGCGCTTTCTTCATGAGAACAGCTGATAAAAAATCACCAGTCAATAAACAAATATGATAACGATTTTTACGAATGTTAATATTTCCTCAATAAGTCTGGTTTAGTACTTGTACTGGGTATAGCAATGCCTATGTGTTGCGCAGGGTTCTATAAGGGTGGTGACTTTATTAGTTATGTTGATGATGGTTGTAGCAGTAGTGATAATGATGGTTGGGAAGGCAAAGAAAGAGAGATTGGTTGGTTAATTGTTTCTAGAGCCTATCCACCACACGAGGGACATTAAGGCTGCAAGAAACTTGTTTACTCTATGTCAAGAAGGCAAGAGAAATGTGTAGATATATCTTATCGAGCTACTTAGGGTAATAACATACTTGTATATTTATCCATCTTGAGAGTATGATAAGTATATTCCGACAATCAGTTTAAGTAAATGGATACACATATGGCGTTGTGGATATTCAGTTTAGGCTGTTTCTCTTGTCCAATCTTTCTGAAGCTTCAATGTACTGAATATTCATTTCCGTGCTCAGGCCTCTTTACGTTTACTGTGGCTTCAAAATGCTCCAGACGAGAGAAACTAAGCCTTAATAAAATATTGAAAACGTTGCATATTGTCTATTTACCAAAATTATAATTTTTCGGGTGGTAGTGCCATACTGATGACGTTAGTATATATAAATGTGGCATTAGTATCAAACTGAAAACAGTTTAATTTGACTCTAACTACATGTCCTCATTACTTGCTCTAAATAATCCGAGTTCTCAGTGTAACATGCTTATGTAAGAAGCGAAAAACAGATTTGCACAAATTGTTGACAACGGGATTAAAGTTTAAGTTTTATGGCTTCCGTCTCACATACGTCTCGGGGAACAATGGTGAAGTCGATGCCTTAACGAAATTAGTATTAATCAAATAGAATGTTGAATATAATTTGGCTACTCGAACAGAAGTTTACAAAAACACTGATTAAAAAAAATGCCAATTTGAAGTAGTAGAGGAGTACCGAGAGGAACTACCCGATTTATTGCCCATCTTAATGAACTCTGTCAAGCAAAACATGTCTATAGTGAAGGTTACAAGATCACATGACTGCAAAATATTGTCACAGCTATGCAGTACAGTTGAAATGAAGATGTCAGTCACATAAAATGTTAGGTGTTTGAACAGAAATAGGAGCCATACATTAGGGTATTATATTTTAGAGCATCAAAACATCCATCCATTTCAACCTCGTAAAGGGTGGGGTTAGAGCTCATAGTAAGTGAATGGAGTTTTACGACTCACTTGCCATGAGTTCTATCCACACACGTACAGTGGTTTGTTTGCAATCGTGTTATTACGATTTCGTGAATCCATCCACTTGTACTTAGCTCTGTGAAGATCTGTCCAGTGTGTTCTCCGTGAATGTGAAGGCTTACTCAGCCCTGTAATAACTTCATACAGTATTACCAAGGCTGGCTCCTCCTCAGGAAAATTAATGAATAGAAAAAGAAATAGTAATAGACAAACATAAACACTTTATTATATAGAAAATATAAAATATAAAACACTTAAATATGAAATATTAATCCTACATTAAAGAAAATGAAAAATGAAAAATATAAATGATAACTGAATTCAACTCTAATATATATAGGGGTGTCTGGTGTTGGTGACACTGTGTTGTTGAAATCGTAGCCGTTGTTGATGATGGGGGGGGGGGGTCGCAGGTGTTGGTTACGACCCACTGGCTAGTTCTTCACAGTATAGCCTTGAGTATTATATCCCGATGACAGGAAAGCAGGTTCTTTACCGCTGCAATGATGAGGGGTTACGTCCTGCAATTTCATACAGGTGCACAGGTAATTAAATCCAAAAAGGGGAAGTCTCAGAACGTTAGTCCATCTCCACCAGTTCTTCTCGTTGATTGACAGGTGACCCTCTCTGTCATCCAAGAGTATTGCTGGGAGCTGTGAGTCTAGTGATTTACTGTTTGACCAGAGCCCCACACGTCACCTTTCGGGGGGGGGGAAGAAGGAGGGGAAGGGATAGCGGGAGCTAGACTGACCCTACCTTAACAAGCAGCCGGCAGTCAAACTATCACTTTCGGGGTGGGGGAAAAAAGGCGGGAATAGCGGGAGCTTGACTTACCCTACCGTAACAAGTAGCCGGTAATGAAACTATTGTTACTATATACTCCCTCTCTATTCCTATCTATTGAACTTTTCCCTCACATTCCCCCTTACCAAGACTTATAGTCAAGGAGTATAAGAAGAATAGGCGAGGAAAAAGTTCTAACATGTGGAAGTCTCGTAAGGCAACAAATCTTCTACTGACTGTCACGACTTAACCAGTCAGAGAAATAATTGGATGAACTACTGATATACACAATATGGTACTTAAAAGCCTGGAGTGCCAATGTCCACCTCAAGAGGCGACTGTTGGTTCCCTTAAAAGTTTCTAGGTATATCAAAGGTTTGTGGTCCGTTTCTAAAATGAATTCTTTTCCCAGCAAATAAAATTTAAGTTTGGAGATACCCCACACAAGGGCTAAACATTCCTTTTCTATTGTGGAGTATCTTGTTTCTGCGGGAAGGAGTTTCCGGCTTAGGAAGCATACAGGGAAGGGAGTACCATCATGGTATTGTAGTAACACCGCACCTAAGCCAGTATTGGAGGCATCAGTTCTTAAGCAAAATGTTTTATTAATATCTGGAATCTTAAGTATAGGGTCTTTCGAAAAGATACTTTTAATCTCATTAAACTTTTCCCAAGCTATGTCGGAAAGTTCAAGAGGTTCCTTCACAGACTTTTTAAGGACGTCGGATAAGATGCCTGTAAGATCAGTAAGGCTCGGGATAAACTGTGCATAAAAATTTACAGAACCAAGAAAGCTACGCATGAGCTTCTTGGTTTTGGGGAATTTAAATTCTAATAAAATTTTGATCTTACTGGGGAGAGGCTGCAGAGTGTTATTAGAAAGTATCAGTCCAAGATATCTAATCTTGTTATACCCAAGGAAGCATTTCTTCGGCTTGGCAGTGAGGCCATGTGAGCGTAACCTACGCAAAACTGATGTTAATGTTTGGATATGTTCGCCCCACGTGGATGCCATTACGTAAATGTTATCAAAATAAACTGAAACATTTGGCATATTACCCAAGACCTTTCTCATCAGTCTCACTGCAACTTCTTGGGATCTTAATACTTGGGAATTCTTCGCTTGCCTAATTCTTGGGCACAACCTACTTCCACATTGAACAAATGTGACACTACCTATGACTGCTGCACCTCTCCTGCCATACGGTTTATAAGCTGCTTCTCCGCTCATCTGCCGTATTCTACTCAAGATTGATGGACTGAACACATCGACTCAAGGTTGAGGGACTGACTACCTCATTCTCCTCCTGTTCTTCAAGTTTCTCCTATGTATGGACTGATCAAGCCACTGTGTGGCGAAGCGTTTCCTCAATAAAGATACCCAAGAGTTGCACATGTGTCTAATTTATCAACATGTCGGTTCTCTGAACCATTCATCTACAAACCTGTCAGACACTGCAACTTCTTGGGATCTTAATACTTGGGAATTCTTCGCTTGCCTAATTCTTGGGCACAACCTACTTCCACATTGAACAAATGTGACACTACCTATGACTGCTGCACCTCTCCTGCCATACGGTTTATAAGCTGCTTCTCCGCTCATCTGCCGTATTCTACTCAAGATTGATGGACTGAACACATCGACTCAAGGTTGAGGGACTGATTACCTCATTCTCCTCCTGTTCTTCAAGTTTCTCCTATGTATGGACTGATGAAGCCACTGTGTGGCGAAACGTTTCCTCAATAAAGATACCCAAGAGTTGCACATGTGTCTAATTTATCAACATGTCGGTTCTCTGAACCATTCATCTACAAACCTGTCAGACACTGCAACTTCTTGGGATCTTAATACTTGGGAATTCTTCGCTTGCCTAATTCTTGGGCACAACCTACTTCCACATTGAACAAATGTGACACTACCTATGACTGCTGCACCTCTCCTGCCATACGGTTTATAAGCTGCTTCTCCGCTCATCTGCCGTATTCTACTCAAATTGATGGACTGAACACATCGACTCAAGGTTGAGGGACTGATTACCTCATTCTCCTCCTGTTCTTCAAGTTTCTCCTATGTATGGACTGATGAAGCCACTGTGTGGCGAAACGTTTCCTCAATAAAGATACCCAAGAGTTGCACATGTGTCTAATTTATCAACATGTCGGTTCTCTGAACCATTCATCTACAAACCTGTCAGACACTGCAACTTCTTGGGATCTTAATACTTGGGAATTCTTCGCTTGCCTAATTCTTGGGCACAACCTACTTCCACATTGAACAAATGTGACACTACCTATGACTGCTGCACCTCTCCTGCCATACGGTTTATAAGCTGCTTCTCCGCTCATCTGCCGTATTCTACTCAAGATTGATGGACTGAACACATCGACTCAAGGTTGAGGGACTGATTACCTCATTCTCCTCCTGTTCTTCAAGTTTCTCCTATGTATGGACTGATGAAGCCACTGTGTGGCGAAACGTTTCCTCAATAAAGATACCCAAGAGTTGCACATGTGTCTAATTTATCAAC